TGGAAGTCAAGGACTGATCCGAGGGCAAGCTTGGAGAATGGGCCAGCCCCTACCTCACTTAACTTGTCCGTGTGGATCAGCTGAGCTCCCGTTAAGAGTGGAAGCGCCTTATGATGCACGGGTTCAGCTTCAGACAGATCAGTCGCCATTTAAATTAATTTCTAGCCCCAAGTGCAGGTAACACTGTGGAGCCCCAGGTTTTAACCCCAAGGACTTTTTCCTAATGGTTTTCACAGTGCAGTGAGGAGTCAACCTAAAGTACAGAAAAGATGGGGTGTGAAAATTAACAAAACAGAAAACATCTACGTCCATGTATCAAACTCAAGATTAAAAAAGAAAAGAAGATAAATGACTTACAGCTCATGGCTAACACAACTGACAATCAACACTTGCATTCAACAAAGATGCTAAAGCATGCATGCAAACTTGGGTGCTATGGAGGGAGCAGAAATGGTAAAGGTGTAAGCCAGACCTGCAGCCTGCTCCATTAAAACACATCTGAAACAACAAAAAAGCTCTTTAAATTAACAGAAAGCATTAATGAAAAGCAGACGTTGCACTGTGCCTAAAGTACGGCGTTGAGGTAACTGGTAAGTCGTTGACTTTGGGTAAGAGCAGGAGCTGGCACATTGATCCAGCTTCTATCAGCCTAAGGAATTCACCCATTCCATGTGTTAGGCAGAAAATACACCCACTGGGGACCCGAACCATGCCCCTCCCAAACTAAACCCCATGCAATTTACAGAAACAAGGGAGTCCTTGAACACAAAGATAACCAACAAAACAGCAGTCTCCATACCTTCTACAAAAAAAATTAAAGTTTTACAGAACTTTCCTCCAAATAACATGGGTACTGAATAGGTTAAGCTCAGTCCAACCCTCAATCAGTCTCACCCCTTACTACCATTACATTCTCCCGCCTGTCTTACCTGCTGCCCAACCGACTGCATCAGCCTCTCCCAGGAGAGGTGGCTCTGCTATTTCCATCACAAAACACAGGGCTGACTTGCTCATTCACTCCCTCTTCTCACCAGCCCCTTTAAAAACCTCAAAAGCAAAACCTCACCCTGTAGCAAACCAGGGCCCTGACATCACTCCTGGCACTGTTTTCAAGCTGACTTTCACCACAGCTTCAGCACTTTGCGCTGCGTTCTCCATCACAGGGGTGGATGCTCCGTACCGCATCGATACCACCTCAGTTACTGCCTGTCCTTGTCCAAAAATACCATCCTTTCCTTTCTCAGCGGCGAGAACTCCCCATCGATCGGAAGGATTCTCTCTACCTCCGTTACCTTCCCGTGCAAACCAAAACCCAGCTCGTCTACACGGAGTATTTGTGTTCAACCTCCGAGCCGCGAAGGTTGTTTGGATCCAGAAACCAGCAGCAGTGAAAAAGAGGAGTCGAGGGGAACAGGAACGCGCGTTAAGATAGGATGGTCCCAAGGACTGGGGATGCAAGAGGCTACGCCATCGTACCTACAAGACCTCCTCTCCAAACAATAAACCGACAAATTAACAAACTAAATCTGCAGGTGGGCGCAGAGTCACATCAGGTGCACACACCTACGGCGCAACGGGCCCCGAAATTTTCAGGCTTCGGTTGTTCTTACATTTAGCCTTTAAAAAAACACCAGCATTTTGAAGCAAGTCTTAAAATAACCAATTACAGATCCATCCTCAGGGAAATGGGCTGGGGGCTACCAAAGGTGCTTTCCCTGGGATTACTCACACACACAAGGATGCACTGTGGCTGCCCTGGCCCTGGGTTTTATCTAGTTTTAAATTGTGTGGCCTGCATGTCACACGCATGAAAACACAGTACTCCCAACTTTGACTTCAAATTCCCCAAGTTATAAAGAAAAAAACCTTTTGTTTAGGTCACAGGATGAACCACTGAAGTCTTTTCGCTCTCAAGAGTGAAACTCAACACAGCACAATTCGTAAGCCACCATCCAGCAGAAATTCAGAGCTGATTCCCTCTGCGTTCCCACAGCTGGATCATCTCCTGTCCAAAAGGCCTTGGGAATCCAAGGAGCAGGAGGGTAAATCTACTGACTTCGAAGGACCGATATTCTCAAGGGGCAAAGCCAGAAGCATCACCTTGTGAAAGTATCACGGCTCAAGGACTGCTCTTGCTTGGCCTGTTTGTTTCCACAGGAGGATCAAAAGAAGTTTTCAGGACTGGGTATGAAATGTCAGCTACAAACAGGCCTGAATTTAGTTTCTCAAAAAGATAAAGGACTAGAAAGTTTTGCAAGAGCAATGCAGAACAACTCTCATTCCCCCCTCCAAGTAAAAAGGAATATTTATTTAACTGGAAAATCAAGTCACCCAAAACAACTGTTACCTGGACACCCTATTTCACCTATGGGATACTGAGACATCTTTAGCGTGTACCGCATCTGCAAGTGCAAGCATCCCTCTCAATAATAAACAACTGGGAAGTAATAACTGTATTTTGCATCTACACACATGTCAAACAAACAAATGTTGTGCTTAGAAAGTGGGAAGAGGCCATCGATTGAGGACTCAGGTTCAAGATGGTTATTGGGTAACTCTCCTGTACCCTTAAATCTGACCAATGGTCAGGAAAAAAAATAATCACATCAGCAACGAAACGAACATCAGGGCACCAACCGTTTCAAAAAGCTGCTTGAAAGTGCAGTTAGTAACTCTTCACATAGCTACTCACACTCAATTTCCTGTGGGTCACTTGAACTGCAGGTTCCCCAACTGTCAAGAACTAGTCATTTCCAAGCTGCTAATCCAGCAAGGAACTGATAAGCAACAAAAAACCCAACTTTCTGGATTTCTAGCTTAGCAGAAATGGTTGATAGTGTCCAGTCTTGCAGCTCTGGGAGTGGCCACTAATGGAAGATCTAGCCAAAGGTACAGGGAGATTTCCATGAAAAAATCCATCAATTTCCTCCTGAGCTATCAGCATATCCTCAGCAGAAAAAAACAAAACAAAACACCACAAAACCAACAGAAAGGAAGGCTTTAGGAGAGACACACACATTCTGGATAATATTTCAGAAGAGTGGAGTCCCCCCCACCAGTGCAACAGCCATAAGAACTTTACAAAAATAAGTTAATTTGGGGCGTAGTTTGCTTGACTCCTTGAATTTCTACTGGCTATAAGATTTTCCTCTCTGACTTCAATCCCACTTGAGGGAAAATATTTTGGGATGAAACCAGTTCTCGAACACGGCAGGCCAAGTGTCAGGCTGGCGGAAATACCGAGTCACAGGACGGGGTAGGGTGCACAGGCTGAGGGGATTGAAAACAAATATGCAATGGAAAAATGAGGAAGCATATCCAATCCTGTGCCCTTAGGGGTGTCCACTTACTGTTACATGACACGTACACCGGTGATTGATGTGCTCTGAGACATGACTTGGTACACGGTACACGACACCAGTCTAGAAATCAGGTCAAAAAGAGCTAGAAAAAAGTTTTTGTGTTCTTCCAGGTGTGAAGCCAGGGTGTCAAGGGACACAAAACCGCCAACCCTACGAGCATTGCAAGCAAGAACGACTGTTTTTTATCACAAAGGCTTAAAAAGCAAAGGAACTGGATTTCAAAACCAGGCTGCTGATTATTGTGCAAATATCTACTACTATGTAACGCTGTCCTGAGCGGAAAAGCATTATGTCTCAGAAGCTGCAGGAAAAAAGCACAGGAAACGTTAACATTTTTGCAAATCCAAATCAAACATGCCAAAACATTACCTTCTACATTGCGAGCCGGCCAACTCTTTCAAGACTTGGGGCCGTCTCAAATCCTCAAAGCTCTTTCCTAAAAATCCAGCTCAGGTAGAAGATACCTTACCAACTCCCTCAGTATCTACAATGTCACAGAATATATCACCCAGCGACATCTTTGATACAAATTTCTTTTACAAAATGTAGCGGTTAGAAGTTCTCAGACTGCTTCACAAAGATGTTGCAGCCTGGACTGCTCTCCCTTTTGTTACTGCAGTTCCCCGAGCTGCCTGTTGTCTTGATTAAGTCACACCAGCAGCGTTCAGTAATTTAGAAGAGCCCAAAAACGTGCCGAGGAATCAGATATCTCACTGAATATTAGTCCCCACTTCTAAGCCTTATTTGGCAACCCGCTCGGAAAGCTGCTCCCGCCGCACATCTGGCTGAGCGTTACTCCACAGCTGGCATTCCCATCGCTTTTGTTGCCACTCAACAAGTCCTGCGCTGACTCTGTCCCGATCCTTACGGCCACGCCGCTCCCATTTCCTGGGAGGTGTCCTGGTTAAGCAGACTTTCCAATCCCCTGCCTCCTGATTACGCCACACCAAGGCTGTATTCGCAGCTCTCCCGCCTCGAGTCTCCCGGAGATCCGTTACAGGCTCCCTGAGCCCCACGCTGCTACAAGCACTACAAACCACCTTGTTTCAATTAAAGAAGAGCAGTGGTCCAAGAGCTCACCGCTTGCCAGGCAAGAAATTCTTTGGCTGGACTAGCGTTACGGTTTCTATTTCCATCCACTCCTTCCCCGTGCAACGTTAAGGGGGGAACAACAAATCCCAAATACGTTAAGGTTCGGGGGAGCACAGCAAAAATCTTCCACACTTCCAGTTCCCAAACACATGCATTCCTACACGCAGAGACACAAAGGAGAGGGGGTTTTTCTAAGTCTAAAGATTCAGCATTGAATTTGGACCTGGGACTCCAAAGGCAACCTGGCTTACACCTTGCCTATCCTGTTGACCTACGAAGCAAAGCAAAAATGAAATACTGCCCTTTTGCACACACAGATGCTGCTTTCACTGCAAAAAACAACAAAAAAAGCACATTACTAGAGTAAGATTGATGCTTTGCCTCCCCACCTGGGACTGAGCTCAGCCCCTCGCCTCTGCTTGGACATAACGGCAGCAACTCAAAGTCAGCTTAATCTCCACAGATGTTTATCAAATTACAAGTAACATCCCATGCCTCACCCCCACTAGTCTCCACCACCAAGAATGCCAGCTCAATATAAAAACCACTAGACGTTTCAGATCCTTTCTCCATCAATCTTTGACCTATCCAGAAGACAGCAATTTCTGTGGCCTGGATTATCTTCTTTTTTCCTACATCCAGGAGTTTTTCTTCACACCCCCAAACACACAGCCAAAGCCAAGTGCTGCACAACCTAAATTATGCCACCATTGTACCTAGAAGCTGGCAAAAACTTCAGCTAAGGGATGAAGACAAAGCAGAATTTCTACTTGGATAGTTGTCTAAAAATAATTTCTCTCTGCAACGATGATTGTGACAGTGGAAACTCAGTGGGACAACAGTTTTTGAACAATTTTTGGCTACTATGGTCCATGATACAGATTCTCCGTGTGCTGCCACTGACACAGGAGCTAAGGAATGAAGCAGCCCACATTAGAGTGCAGAGGGTTCAGCTTGAAGTTTATAACAGGTCACAAACTTAAAACTATTCCAACAAGAAAAATCCTCTGCTGAAAGCTTCATAGCCTTGGACGAGATATCTTAATTCCAGGATGCAACATGATGAATTCTGACAAACCACTGACACTTGAATGAAAATTTAGGCTGCTAACACAACATAGCAGGGTAGGAACCTTTTATAGGCAGCATCCTCCTTGCTTGGATGGATTGGATGTAAAACCACTATATAAACCCTCCTCCCAAACTATTACTTATTCAGCCATCACTTATTATTCCATAGTACAAAACTATGCATAATAAAAGCTACAACTTCCTTGCAGCCTATACAAAATCTACTCACACCTGACATTAGAGTCCATCAATGCAAAACTTCTTTCATTCTCCCTCACGGAAGTTAAAATCCTCAGAGGACCCTGGGTCACTTGTAACAAAACACTGACAAAAGAGTCACACATCAGTTTTTGCCAAAAGGGAAAAAGAAATTCTGGGAAGAAAAGAGGAAAAAAAAAAAAGATTCTGAAGAAATAATTCAAGCAGCTATTACCTGAGGAAAGCGCACGAAGCATTGAAAAGTTAATTAATTAGGAGGCACAGGTAAATAGTGCAAAAACCAGTAGATGTTTTCAAGGCATACATACAAAGTTCTTCCCCTCAATAGAAATTATGTGTTTGGTTTTTTCTCCCCCCTCTAACCATTCCTCATTTCTAAAGATTTCCCATTCTATCCATCAATCTCTTCAAGTCCCTCCTAAGGAAGGTAAGTGCTCTCCCAGCCCATCAAAACACTTCCATTCTTTATCGCTCACCAGCGACACCCTCCTCTCCCTCACTCCCCCCACACACACCCTCCTCACCCTGAGGAGCTCAACAGTGTGACATTGTTTACAAACACGAGTACTCCCGAACCTTGCCCCCCTCAATAAGAGAGCTGCTTGCCAAAAACTTGGCCAACTATTTCTTGAAGACGTTAAAAAAACCAAACCAACTATTTATGGTAAAAGGAAACAAAGTCACATGCTCGGAAATCAGAGCACGACTATTACTCAGAAGACCTGATACGAACTGCGAAGTGACATGCTTGTTAACCAAAAAATAATTCAGCGGCCAAGTGAGACTCCTGAAATGAGTAACCCACGAAATCCCACAGATTCGAGCAAACAGGCCGGTCCCTGCTGTGCTTCCAAAGGAGGGAACGCACCCACAACCCTGAGTTATCCGCCTTCTCCTGCGGAGCAAGTCCCCCCCACGATCTGCAGACACCGGCGACTGTGAAAACAGTTAGAAGAGGCAGGAAGGATTCGTTCCGAACACCGTCCCCGGTCCGGAGCGGTCCTCAGCTGGTGGAGCCCCTCTGGCCTGGCAGAAGCTACACCAGTTCACTGGATTGTGCTACGCTGCTCCTCTCACCTTAAGTCTTTGCAAAGTTTTAACCCCAAACCACGGTCCAGCGTGGCAATAAGGATAACAAACCCAGACTGGAAGCCCCTCTGGAAGAGTCCTATTCCAGACTGGAATTTAATAGCCTTCTCCACAGAGAAGCACATGCAGCAAGGTGAGGAAGGTAATTAATACTCTTTAACAGGGCTGTGGCCACCGCAGGGTCTCGGGAAGAAGCTCAGAAGCGCTCAGCAGGCTCGTACTTCAGCTTGTGTCCATCGCGAGCAGCGCCGAGCGGGATTCGGAGCTGCTTTTTGGAAGCGGAGCCACACCGGAGTCTCGGACGGAGGTTTTCCTCGGGCGGCAGCGCTTCTCCGGCCCCTGACGGAGTCAGTCGGTGGAGGGGGAAAAAAAAAGGCCCACAAGCAAGCAAGCAAAACGCGGGAAGGCTACGGCGGGAGCTCAGGCCCTTCCTACGTTTATAAACAGCGATTATTTACCGTGTCACACCCCTGCCTGCCC